GTAATTTCTCTTCCAGTTGCCTTGGCAACGATTGTATATAACAGCGGCTTTTTAAAGATAAAGTATAGAAATTTGTTCCTTTTAATTCTTATCCTTGAGAAGTATTTGGACACATATAAAAGCTTTTTTGGTCTGAAGGAAAGAGTAGTTCACTCAAATATGTACCAATGGGGGGGGGGCTTTCTTAATTTTCATGCAGCTAGGAATCCCATTTTGTAACCTTAATCAGAGAAGGTAGTCAACTTTTGTGCGTAAGAGGACCGATAGAAAATACTCATACAAGTTGTCCACAATGTTTCGTTTCTCCTATATTTATGAACGTGTTCCTATTGTAATAAGTATGGGTTATTGCAAAATCGTGCTAATATATATTGTATATTACCTTATGCAGTAGCCCACTAGTAGCGAGTGCTTAAGAACGTTTAATACTGGTAGTTCGAGCTCTCTTGGTTTCAAGCCCAGGTGAACGGGCTGGCTTGGATGGTTGTTTTCATAGTTTTGCTTATATGCATTGTATATGCGACCCAGTTTCCCTGAAAAAGTCCTCCACGAAGGAATCCCTCCTCTTAGGCAGACACCCCTCGAGGATTCGCCATATTCAAATAACCTAACCTACCTTAAGTAGCAGAGCTGCAAACTGAACAAGTTCAAAATGAAATACAGTGCACATGAGATATTTGAGAAGTCATTTTTAACATATTTTGCGGTAAAATGTTTTTATACTTAAGGTCTGAATTGTAAAGAAAATTAGTTGGATCGTGAAGCAGTAAGCTAACCAAAAACAATGGCCAGTCCCCTTGATATTCTCAACGTGTCCTACTGATGAAATGTATACCCATCAAGTATGAAGTATGAAAATATATACCCATCAAGGAGTCCACAATCTAATTATATATTTTACTAATCTCTTTGCAAGCCACATAAAAGGATCGGAGGACCAATAGTTGGCCATAACTACAAATTAGCAGTCATATAATCTGTTACATTCAACTATACTGCAGTATAAAGTACTAATTTTTATTATACTGTGAGCAACAAATCGCTTAGCGCTGCTCAAGTGGTTAGGGGAGTCTACTGCGATACCGAAGGGCCCGTGTTCGAATTTCGGAGAAGGCATGGCTCTAATTGTCCGCTCCTTCAAAGAAGGTAACGGTGCCCCACCTATTAGGTGCTTCCATAATAAAGTGGCCATCAGTTCCGCCTGGGCGACAATTCGCTTAACACCAATTCATTCTTTCCCGTTTTATCTTGAGCTCAAATATCGTATCAATGCCGTTCTTCATTGGTTTCCTTTAACACATTTCATCTTGCGTACAAAACGCTACTTTTCAGAACAGCGAACACTGAATTTAACTTCGAAATTCATCAAATACAAACGGTTTAGGCCAAGGGCGATGGTTGCCGAGGAGGGTCTACCTTGCTTTTGAATTCTACTATTTACGAACCACTTTGTTTTGACAATTTAGTCTCTGCAATACGGTACAAAAAGCGTTTGTTTATATTCTTAAAAACCCAAGTCATTTTTCATATTTGGACAGAGGTGGCTGCCTCACGAGTGTTCAGTGTAATTCTTTTGCAATACATAACGGAATTAATTAAATTTAGTCCAACCAGTTAAATAAATGACTGATTATTCTAAAGGTATTCTGTTCTAAGAGAGATTTAAGTGCAGTATGACTGAAACATTTGTTTAACAATTAAAGTTGTAATAATGGATTTTTATATTTTCCATTAAAGTGGATCCTATGTTTTGTCTTTAGCTTTAGGTGGTTTTCTTTATCCAAATTCAGGTGCTCCATTTTGTGGGATTTTGAAAAATCACGTATATTTGACAAGCAGATTTTCGTTTGCAATTATAATTAGGCTTATCTCTTATTACATTTCAATAGTTTTAATAGCGTGCAGAATTTCAGGAAGAGCATTTTTTAAGGTCTTTGCTTTTGTTTTAATATATGTTTTATATATTCTTTTGTTATTATGAATTTTATTTAATTTTACATAGTCTTATATTTTAACGGTATTGAAACATCTGCATGATGACATTAAAAATACTGCAGATGATAACTAACAACTGTGTGCCTGCTGTGCTGTGTGTTACCAGTCTTGCTGAGGGTTAACGGACTGGCTACATGGGTGTTTTCGCGGTTTCCCCAATGTGTAACGTGTAACCAGTTAAAAAGTCCTCCGCGAAGGCATCTCTCTCCTTAGGCAGATAGCCTTCGAGTGCTTTGCCGTAATTAAATAAACCAAACCAAACCAAACCAGTCATGTTGATTTTGACATTTCTGTTTCTACTGAATCTAAGAGTATTAGTGACTCATCTGATGATATATATAGTATACTTTAAAAAAATTAACCCAGAAATCAAAGCATCAGAAATAAACATTGGATTGCCCATTGATCAAATAGACTTTAAATTTTGGTGAATCTCATTATATTAGTCATTTAAAGTTGTTTTTGTTTATTTATTTTTGTAAGCAAATTAGGTTACCTAAAGAAGCAAATGTTCTCAAATAGTGTATACTTGTGACATTTATGTTCTTTTAAAAATTTTAGCGTGGCTAACGAATGGGCATTAATCATGTATCTCAAGAAGGACGTTTTTGAAAAGAGGATAAAACGGGTTTGGTTTGGTTTTATTAGATTACGGCAAAGCATTCGAGGGCTATTTGCCTTAAGGGAGGGATGCCTTCGGGGAGGTCTTTCTAAGGGAAACGGGTTTGTATACATGTTACACATGGGAAAACCACGAAAACGCCCATGCAGCCAGCCCGTTCGTGGGATTCGAACCTCGGACCGAGCTACCAGTGTTCAGCGACGTTACCGCTCGGCCACTGGTGGGCCCAGGATGAAATAGGAAAGATTAACAGTGGAGGGGAAGGTGCATGATAGGAGCTGAATTGCCACGGTTTTGATAATTGTAGGACGAAATGAATAAAGACAGATGGAGAAAACACCAGCAATCGTATGAAATGCTTTGTATCTGAAGATTATTTTAGTATGAAATATAGAATTGCATCTAGAGTGAAAATTAATGGTATCTAAAACTAATGCGTTTGAGGGCGTTGAAGAAAGAAAGCATACTCATGTTCATTCCAGTGCCCACCAGTGGCCGAGCGGTTAAAGCCGCTGAACACTGGTAGTTCGAGTCCCGGCGAACGGACTGGCTGCATGGACGTTTTCGTGGTATTCCCCATGTGTAACGTGGATACGAGCCAGTTTCCCTTAAAAAGAGCTCCACAGGGCATCCCTCCCTTTCCGTGTAGTGCCTAAGGGCGGAGCACGTAATCAGGAAAAAAAAAAAAAAAAATCATTCCAGTCATGGGGGGAGGGGAGGAAAATAGAGTGTTACCGAAAAATGAAATAATTATATTTGTGACACAGTAACCACTTTCCAGCTGCGTAAGAGCATGTCTGAAACTTTGATATTCATAAAAGCGAGCTATTAAATGGGTAAAAAAAAAAAAACCTACTCTTTTGAACATTGGCTTCAGTCATCAAAACCAGTAAAAAGGAAACGATATAAACCAATTAACCCTGAAAAGATATTATCAGTGAGAAGTCGGTTATTGGCAGAATAAATATGTGAAATTTGACCTTGATAACCTATGCGCTTACAAGCATTTCTTTATTTCATAAATCTATAACAATAGATACATCGAAAATAAATTAACATTTATGAATAAAAAATATCACCCATTAATAAACACACAAGATAATTAAAAGTGTGCATTAATCGATTTCATTTTCCGGTCACTCACTTTTTGATGATAAGGATATATGTTTTCTTTCGGTGCGAAATCACAAATTCGGCGAGAATTCTCCACAAAAGTGCAAATTCGCACGTTTTCTTCCATTATTAATAACGACTTTTGTGTGTGGGGTGGGGGATTAGGTAAATAGGAATAATTGCTTTTAGAATTAAACTCAAAGGGCGATCTCTTAAAAAAGCAACTCTGTGGGTTAAAATGAATTGTGTAAAAAGAAAAGAGTGAATTTTGCACAATGGCCTTTATTACGAGCAAAGAATAAAAAAAAAAAAATTCCTTCTTTCATAAAATTCTGTCAAGTAGTTTTATGTTACAGAAGTTTTTGAAGCTGGAAAATACATTAATTAAATAGTGAATAAAACTTCACAACCTCTTTGTTTCTTGGAAATGATGAATCATGCTTTAGTGATGCTTCTGAAACGTCACAAATACTCTAATATCAGGAAGTTATATCCTTATTGTTATTGTTCATTGACTAGGGGTATTACCTGCATAATTCCTGTTTAGGCAACTATTCTTTCACAATGAGGGCTATGAGCGTGAGATTGAAGTTCTTCAGGTAAAAGTCACTGATACCATTTCTTATTCCCCCGCCCTCTTTTCATATGATGAATGAAAGGAAATACTCTTCGCTATGAATACTTCTGAATTTAGCTTTTATTTATATATATATATATATATATAATGTTGTTCTACATTGCTCAGAAGTTGACTATATGTCTTCGCCTTTTCTTTTTATTGCAAGGACATCAGACACGAATTAAAGAAAATTTCCTTGGGAGCGGCTTGACAGCCATGTGTGTGGTCTGATGCTACCTTCCCCTAACTTTGTACATTTATTATTTTTTATTCCATTCATCGAACAAGGACGTTTAAAAAAACTGTTTTATATTATCTTGGATGTTTATGCTAAAAAAGTCTTAAAACAGTGGCCGTGAAATAAAAGAAGGCGAAATGGGGCCATTCCCGAACACCTGGTGTTTGGGATAAAGGTCTGCGTCCATCTTGAGTATCCTTGGTTGCAGGACGAAACAGGTGAAACAGTTGAGCAGCATTCCTTGCATCGAACGGCAATTAACCAGAACGAGTTGGCATCCGTAGTTGCACCTGCCGTTCCTGACAGGCTTGGCTTGTTGCTGCGAACAAAACAATTTTTTAAGGTCATTGGGGGTACGTTGTACTTCATCTGGACGTTTCCTTCGGGGGGGGGGGGGAGTATTCTTCATTACTTGTGTTGTTGTGCGTTTGATTCAGTAGTTAGATGATATCCCTTCATTCATTATCCCACGTGTGATAAGCAGCTCACTGTTTGTTCTTAGAATGGTAACGATTGTTTCAAGTTCATTATGACTGTTTACGTAAGTATCTCTAGTTTATCAAACGCAACATTGGATTAATGACATCGTAATTGAAATTTTCAGTATTTTACGCGACTTCCCCCTTTTTTTAATATCTCTCAACAGATATAAGTACGTTTAATTATTTTTCTTCTTGAAATCATTTTTTGAAATAAAAATGTGCTTGAATGAAAATGAAATTTTTTCCAAATGCTTTGAATAAATAGAATGTAAATTAAATTTTTTTGCAAGTCGTTTGAAGAAATAATTATGAAATATTAAATATCCATTTATTTCGTTAAAAGCATATTAAAGACACGTACGCGCGCTCAAAGGAAAAAAAGTAAACGGTTCCATGGATTTGATAGTAAATAACGAGCATATAGTTTAATTGTGAATATTAATTCTGAACTGTCATTTGTAATCGAAAATATTGGCTAAGTTTATTTTAAAGCAAATATTTAGTTAGTTATCACATTTCAAATAAGATAGTTATCAGTAATTTATATAGATAGATGTTGAACTTCCAAACCCATAAAAATTTGACGCAGGATTTCTTAATAATCTCAGTTCTGTTAGCGGTTTTCAAATAGTTATAAATGAAAGAGCTAAATTTATAATATCTACTGGTACTTACGTACTGTCGCAACCATCATAGTTAAAAAGTAGCCAAATTTTCAGAAAGTGCCAAACTCTGGCAACTATGCACATAACCATTTTTCCGGCAACCATGCTCATAACAATCGTTTCAGTCAATCAGTGCCGCCATTTTCGTATGCGTTCTGTTTTGTTGTACTTCAAGTTCCAACGGTTTTTATACACAAATCGTGATATTTTTTTGCCTTAGTTTTAAAGTATGAGCTTGTGGAGTTCGCCAGCAGTGGAAGAAACTACGGTGAAATGTCGCCAGTAATACAGAAATTTGCTGAAAATTTTCTAAAGAGAACAACGAGGAAATGCGTTTTGTAGATAGCCACTGTTGCAGAAGATTGCACGGAGCTGAATCTGCGCATTTCTCTGATGCTTTTTTAAGTGAAAACAGATCGCTGTGGATTTAGGGAGAAGAATAACGCAGGGAATAAAAAAATATAGAAAGATTTAAAGAAGAGTATAAGTGTTTTTGTTTTTTTATGTATGACATAATCCTTATTTAATAATTCAAATTGCTTAAGTATGTTCTTTTTCTATGTTGATACTGTTTACCAGGTTTACTATAAATATAGATAATTTGGGAAGCTTCTAAGAAAGAGTGCGCGAAAATCACTAACTTTCACATGTACCTTTTACATTTTCATCCGTAAAAAAATCGCCAAATTGCGCCGAGGTGGTGGCTATAGTTTGTAAGTACCTACTATTTCTATGTTTTTAATATTAGAATTATTAATGTTTATCGTACACTTATTCCTAACAAGGAGGAAAAAGTCGCCATTCTAACGTACATGTAATGTCAGCATTAAATGTTTAAAAAAAAAAATCGTTCCCGCCGCAAGTTGATTACAATGATGATTTTAAAAACAGGTAAAGATTTTCTACCAGGGCGCCCACCAGCGACCGAGGAGTAAAGTTGCTTAACACTGGTAGTTCCGACCCGTATTCGAGCGGGCTGGCTGCATGGACGTTTTCGTCGTTTTCTTTGTGTAACGTGTGTACGAGCCAGTTTCTCTCAGAAAGTCCTCACTTAAGCAGATAGCCGTAGTGTGCTGTGCCATAATAAAATAAACCAAAATTTTCTAAGAGTTCTAAGCTTCTAAGAGCTTGTTCAAACCGAAGGTAAAAATTTTAGAAGGGGCAAAAAAATCAGATATATTCAAAAAAGTATTAACTTTGAATGCATTTCTCAAAATGATAACGAAGCGATTTTTTGCATTATGCATTATTTAGCGCGTTATGCATTGTTGCATAATTATATTGAAATTCATTTTTAAAGATAAAATTAACTCCCAACTATTTTACGTAATGCGAACCTATGCTTGGACCTGAAGTCTGGCGTCCGAGGCAAAGAGCTGTTTTAAAGTCCTTCATTACCCGCTTTGTTTCTTTTCCATGACGGAAATTGTTGTTAATGGCGGACACTAGCGATTTCTTAGTCTTTGGCCGCTACTAAGGACAGAAGCGGTATTTACCATGGAGGCACCTAATAGGCGGCCACTACTTCCTATGAAGGGACAGACAGTTTTATAGCCAAGCATTCTCCGAGATTCGAAGTTAAAATCACTAACCACTTTCCCGTCTGGGCGGCCCGTGAGGGAAAAATAGGATCGCGATTGATTATAAGATGATTTGGGGATCCTTTAAAACGTGCCTAGCCCGCATCTGACTGATACTGCTTCAGAACTGTAAACATGTTCGAATTTAAATAAATAAGTAAAAATAGGAATCAACTTTTATACTTATTTTTGTGGTTCATCTTTTATCAGATAAATGCAGTAGGAATTTTTGGTAGTTACATTCGCATTTCTACGTAAATATTTGTCTATTAAAAAATTAATAATAGAAAAACGCTTCTTATTAAATTTATAAGAAAAAGCTTAAAAACTAACAAAACCAAATCATTTTGTGATACATTTTTATCATTTTCGGAAAAGCTCCTGAAGGGTATTTTAGTTCAAAATAGTTTAGTATCTCCTCCTCCTTCGTCGCAACGTTTCGCAGTTACCAGAATATCGAAAATCTTCCTGCTGTTCGGTATATGTTAAATAATCTTTCCATGACAGCTACACCATTTGTATGAGAAAATCTCCGAAGATTTTCCGTGAGTTCGACACAGTATTCACGACAAAATTTTTAATGACTTAAAAAAAAAGCAAATAAATGAAATAAAAAATAAATTCTTAACGCTGACTTCAAAAAATACTTAATGGTTCGCCTTGGATAATGCGGAACCTAGGATTTTTGGGACTGTGTTGTATCATTTAAAAGTGCCTTTGTAAGACAGATGTATTCATTTAATTTTCTTATTTTCGTGTTGTTAAATGTATTTAATTATTATGTGTGAATGTCTCCACGTGGTGGTCATAGTTGTATTAAAACATCTAGGCAAAATTGTGACTGTAGTAGACATGACTTTTCACTGTAATTCCCCACGAAATTTCAATGTGATTTTATCAAAACTCTTCTTCTTACTTTCTTCGCCCTCCTTCCGTAAATCAGGCATAAAAGCATTTTTAAAGGATTCTGAATCATTTTTTTTCGTTCCAGCTGACTGGTATAACTGAGCAAAAAGGGAATGAGGAGAAAGGATTGAAATTAGAAACAATGTAACTGAATTGCCTCAAGTTTAGCTGGGAAAGGAAAGCGTTTCGAGGGCGAGTTTTACAGTCATGGTCACGATTATTCATTTAAGCCGTGTACTAGTGCATCAGGAAAGGTCCCATCGTTTCCTGCAACATTAAGAACGAAAATGTGCCCACTTTCCTGTTTTCTGTTCGAGTTCCTTCTCATTCTTTTGTTTCCAATTTTATTAGAAGTTATTTCAAACGCTATTTAATGTAGATGTAAGCAGACTTTACCACAAGTTCTTATTGAATCGGCTCGCGCTTTATTTTCTTGAGCACTCCTTGTAAAATTTCTATAATAATGCATTTGTTTATATGTTTTTACAGTACGTGAAATCGATATGTGATTTTTTTATAATTAAATTAGCAGAATAAACATTAGTTGCCAGCTCACGGATGTGATTATTTCAAATTAGAGTAATCCGAAGTCAGAGATATTGTTAACATTATTACTTTGCTTCGTTAATTTCCCGAGTTTGAGTTAATTCGAGAGTCAAATTTTCTTAAGCTAATCTTTCTAACTGAATTAATTTTTTAGCACTTCTTGTAGACTATCTCGTGCCATATTGCATTTATTTTTATCTCTTTTCAAACCGTACGCGATTTTATTCATTAAATCAAAAAATGAACATTAGCTGCACGCTCACAAATATAAACATTTCAAATTAGGGTAAAATGAACTTATCTTAGTATATTCAGTTTTTAGTCATCGCTTATCTGTAAAACCAGCAGAATTTCAAATTCTGAACATTCAAATCCATGTTCCAAATGCAAGATTATATTTCTGCCTTTTAATAATTTAATTTGCTTTTTATCAATTTATGTGATCGCGATCAAAACTGGGTGTTATTTAACATCTATGTTATACGACTTATCTCTGTTGCAAGATTCTGATATACACTTCATCTCAATGTACGATTAGTCCTCTGCTTACGAACATAATTAGTACAGAATAACTGGTCTGTAAAGTGAAAGTCAGTGTTTCCTGGGGACAAAACAGCATTATCATTCATGTGTGGTTACTGTAATCAATGACAAAAAAGCTATTTCATAATTGTAATTGCTAACTGCCGTACCTAAATAACTGCCGTAATTTTAATTGATGGTACGTAATTTCAAAAGTATCTCTTTAGTTAAATTTTGGACTAGGTTTACATTCATTTTAATTTAGCCTAATTCTACTTCTTTAGAACTACTTAGCTGATTACTACTTTTTCAAAGTTCCGCCGAGTTATTGCTAAACAGAACTTGATAAACACAATAAATAAATAAATAAATAATATCACATCTAAATTTGTATGAATAATAAGAATCGTATAGATTTCAAAAACTAAAATCATGTCACGTTCAGGCAGACAGCCACACAATAGCTGTAATAACGAATTCAGTAGCAGCGTGAGCGGTTTAAGTGAGTTTAAAAGATTCCTGCTGTGTTCTTAATTTAAAAACTAAACTGAAAAACTAAATCTTACTTGACGGAAAAATTCGTCAAGCTTTAATTAGATCCGCTCACGCACGCGTAATTTCTAATCGACGAAATTGCGATTTGGCAAGGAGCTCACCGCTTTGTTATGCCGCAGTTATGTTGGCGTTCCCTCGAATGGTTGAGGCAGTCAGTGTGCTACTTGTATAGTATACCTCTTCATACGTTTCATCTAGCCCACCAGCGGCCGAGCGGTAAAGTCGCCGAACACTGGTAGTCGGTCCGAGATTCGAATCCCGCGAACGGGCTGGCTGCATGGGCGT